TATTACTCGTAGAAAAGAATTGTTTTCTTTGATTAAAAAGTGTCACATACAATATTGTGATTTTTCATTAAAAGATATATCTATTAAAAATAAATTTATTTGTATAGACATGAAAATTGGTGAAAAGTGATATGTCATGTTTGTGTTGTAAAATAAACATTTTGATCATATTGCCCTTATTGTACCAATGAGACTATGGTCATGGGTAATTCTATAACAAATTGAATGTTATGGAAAGGTCCTTCTAAAAAGGACATCTGACAAGGTGTTGACTCTAAAACAATGTCTGTATTTGGAAATTTATAAAAAGTAAAGAACAAAATATTTGTAGGAAAAGGTTACCTCATGGTAGATCTTTTCAAATTCAGTATTTCTGTTTGTTCTTACTTGCTTGAATCAAACTGTTTGTGACATGCACGCTTGGGACATGTCAATTGCAAAACCTTGCAAAAACTAATCAACTTAGATGTTTTGCCTAACTTCTAGTGCAATAAATCAAAATGTCTAAGTATGTGTTGTTGAAAGGAATTTTAATCCCTTAGAATTGATTTACACTGACATTTGTGATATGAAGTCAACACTATCTCGTGGTGGGAAAAAGTATTTCATAAATTTTATTGACAATTGCACTAAATATTGTTATGTCTATTCGATGAATGGTAAGGATGAAGCACTAGAAACATAGAGGAAATATAAAACTGAACTTGAAAATCAGTTGGCTTAAAAGATTGTCATGATTAGAAGTGTTAGATGTGGAGAATATGAATCTTCTTTTGCATAAAGATATTTGAAAAATGGAATCATCCATCAAATTACTGAACATACTCACCTTAATCTAATAAAATTGTTGATAGAAAAAAAACCGAACTTTGAAGGAAATGTTGAATGTCCTACTTATAAGTTCAGGTTTACCACAAAATTTGTGGGGGGTGCTATCATTATAGCAAAAAGTTTTTTTGTTAAGAGAAACAAAAAGTTTTTTTTGTTAGTAAAGCACTACTAGAAATTAGGCCTACGGCAACGGATTTTTTAGCAACGCTTAAGAAACCGTTACTATAGAGGGTCTATTGCAACGGTTTGAGATGTGCCAAAAGGATTGGATATTATTGCTACGGCTAAATAATAAATACGTTGCCATTGTGTGAAAATCGTTGCAATAGACCTACATATTGCAACAATTATGATAATCGTTGCCATAAAGTCATCTATGGCAACATTTAATGCGAATATTTTTCTATTGGAACGGTTATTAAATCCCTCCATAATTTCCCTCTCTTATTTTGGCTGAACCCGCCAAAAGCTTTTCATTATATTTTATTTTTAATTAATTTTGTAAATACAATTTACTTTTCTCTTTATCAGATATCGATACAAACGAGGCAAACATTAAGCTCATTTCCCCTCTCTTCAACAAGCAGAGCACAAAAGTTGTCACTCTTCTTCTCTTTGACCCAATTTTTCATCCATTTTGTGGAGCTTAGCAGAAGCAGAACACAGAGCATATCGATGGAACACAGAAGTTGTGGAGCTTTGCAAGGATATTAATCTTATGGTAAGTTCTTCATGTCTGTCATTTTAGGGAAAACATAAACCCATTTTTTTCTTCGAATCTAAACCTATTTCTCTCTTCATACCTCTTGTGAAATCTAATGAAATGGAGGGTTGTATGTTTTCTTGTAAAATCTAAGGAAATGTTGGCTTTCTTCTTCAACTGCTGGAGGTTCTCTTCTTCAATCTTTGAGGTTATAGCTGAAGAAACTACAAGTTTGAGCTTTTGAGGTTTTCTTCTTGAATCTCTTCTTTTGTCTTTAATCTTTGGGTGTGGTTAGTGTATTTGATGTATTTCTCTGATTGTGGGTTTTTTTCCATTAAGTTATAGCTATCGTGGGTTTAATGTTTTGTTGGAGTTATGGTGAAATTGACTGCTCTAGACCATATCTAACTTGACATTGATGTTGTATTTCTTGTCCATGAGTTATTCAATCGGGTTTGAATACCCTTGTATTGATAATGTCTTCATTGATTTCACCTCTCACTTGAGTAGGATGTCAAAAATTCACTTTCGTCATTGTTGAAGATTTATGTTATAGAATTAACATGAAAATGGAAGAAACTAAAATTTGCTACTGGTTGGTACTAAAATTTGCTACTGGTTTCGAAAGTGATAGTCTCTGCCAATCATCACCATCCACAGCACTGCACAATCTACTCCTGTCAGCACTTCCTGCCTCCGGCCGAGTCTGCCATGGTCGCTTGAGCTATAGCCATGGCTGTAACTTGTTAGTGTTTCCCCTTTTTTTCGCATTTCTCGGTTGGTTTTTTTTCGGTTTATCGATGTATATAAGTTGTTGTGAAGTTTCATTGGTAGATAATTTCTTAGATATAATCATCATACTTCTGATTTTCCTCTTTTCTCCTTTACTGATTTCTTCTAATTGTTGAAGTACCTCTTTTTTTTCTCCATTTAATTATCAAAAGTGCTATTGTTTGACATTATTTTAGATCTATTTCCTGTTTTAATAGAATGTAGACTATGTTGTAACTTTTCTATAGTTGATCCTTCGTTGATTTCTTCTTGAAATGTACTCGTATCTGATCATGAATTATAAAATAATTATTCACCTGATTATCTTGCTCTTGATTCTCAAATTTGGTACTTCCAGTTTGTCCAAATTGAGAACTTTCCTCCCCTGTGATGGTAACTCTCGAAATGTATTATATTGTTGTCGTCCTCGTGAGAGCTAGAGTGTCTTCCACAATAATTCTAATATTCCAAGGCATCTCTCATTTTCCTTGTAGTATAATTTTCAGATATCTCTTCTGCTTGTGTATAGATGAGGTTACATTCTTGATCTCTTAGGCAATAAGCATAAGAACTGTTGCTTGGATTACCTTTACCTGAACCATATGTGTTACACTTGATGCTATTTGCATTTGGGGGCTTCCAATGATCCTCTTATAATAAATCTTTGTCTTGTCATCCTCTAAGAATTATACCATGTCTAACCAGTTGGTGGGGAATTGTTTCAAACTTAGAAAAATTGTCACTACAAATTGCCATACATTTAGAGTAACCTGATAAACAACTCTGTTATATGTCATGTTTCCCCATGTCTAATGATATTTCTTCTACTCCAAATTCCCCATAGTATTATTGCAGGCATAACCTTCATAATTTGTTGAAGCTTATGACCTATCATTGTTGTCCACCATGTTACTAGCACTTGATTCAGGTTCTGTCTTTTTAAGCTTAAACCTGCAAATTGACCAACATAGACCCATGATTTCCTTACTTTTTATGATTGTTGTAGGCCTGTAGCATTAGTTAAAAGAAAAAATCAAAAAATCACTTTTGAAGACTGTTCTGCCTTGATTTCTTATAAAAAAATCAGTAGGGATTTTCTTTTTGGAAAAAGTATTGAACATTGTTGATAGATGTTGCATCAACATTTAACATTGTTTCCCACGCCAACAATTTTCTAAATCTAATTTATTTTTCTTTCTATCAGAATATTGATACAAATATTTTCTAAAGACATTTCTCATCTCTTCAACAAGCAGAAGACCATACACTGTCACCATCTTCTCTTGGACCTATTTTTCAACAAGGAGAACACAATTTCAGGGCAAGCTTGTGGAGTTTTGTAGGGATTTGAATCTTATGGTAAGTTCTTCTTGTCTGTAATTTTAGGGCAAACTTAAACCATTTCTTTTCTTCAATCGTAAACCCATTTATCTCTAGAAACTGTTGTGAAACCGAAGGAAATGGAGGGCTCAAGGTTTGCTTGTGAAATCTGAGAAATCTTGATTTTTTTTCTTCAACAGCTGAAGGTTCTATTCTGACATCTTTGAGGTTATAGCTGAAGGAACTTCAAGTTTGAGCTGTTGAGGTATTCTTCTTGAATCTCTTATTTTTCATTTAATCGTTAATGTGTAGTTACTGTATTTGATGTATTTTTTTTTCTGATTGTGGGTTTTTCCCATTAAGTTTTAGCTATTGTGGGTTTAAAGTTTTGTTGGTAGTTATGGTGAAATTCATTACTCTAGACAATATTTCTCTTGATATTGATGTTGGATTTGTTGTTCCATAAGTTATTCAATCGGTTTTGATTACCCTTGCATTGATGATGTCTTACTTGATTTCACCTCTCACTTGAATAGCTAGGATGTGAGAAATTTCACTTTCTTTATTGTTGAAGAGTTACATTAGAGCAACAGGAAATAAGAGATACATTAGCATGAAAATGGAAAAACCTGAAATTCATTACTGGTTAGTATTAGACTTTTTGACATGAAAATCTGAAACTTCGTAAAATTCTAGATCAATATTATTGCCTTAAAAATCTGTTTTATCACTTTTGTAGTCTGTTTTGCCTTGATTTCCTATCAAAAAGAAAATCAGTAGGGATACATTTTTGAAAAGAATTGAATCCTCAAGGCGATTTATTGGTGTGTTAGAATATGACCAAACTTCATGCGAATCCAGCGACCATTTTCCATTTCTTGAATGTTCATAAGTCTTTAATAACATAAATTTGAAAGCATGATAAGCTTGTTAAAGTTATTTCTTGACAGGTCATGTAGATCAGTGTTTTGTATATATTTCCAATGATAAAGGGAAATTTGATATTTGTTTCATATATTAAGAAAAACTATGAAATGCTGGTTGTAAATTGAATTGTGATTTCTATGAGTTTTAAACTACATATTCTCCATGTACATTTTGAGATATGTTTCTTCATGTGTAAAACATTGTTGTCTTTATATTTCATAGTTTATCATAAATTTGATTATTTTTGTCTTTTTGTGTCGCATAGATATCAACGGATAATTTAGATAGAACTTGGATGAGTCTCAGACAATGCAGTGATAAATATATTAGTGGAGTGAATGATTTTCTTGATAAGGCATTTCAATTAGAAATATTATGCCCTTGCAAAAAAAATGCATCAATCGTTATTGGCATTATAGAAATGTGGTGGAGGATCACTTGATTGTAAATGGATTTGTGGATGGATACAACAAATGGAATTTTTCACGGGGAGAGACTTTCCTCACGAAATACACCACTTTCACACAACCATGATGATATTGATGGACTACTTCATGATACATTTCAAAATATAGAGGGTGAAACAGGGCATGTAGAAGGAGAGATAGATGGGCTATCTGAAGATGCAAAGATATTTTTTAAATTAGTGAATGAAGGAAAAAAAGAGCTATATCCAGGGTGTGATCACTTCAGTAAGGTGAGTTTCATCATTCGGTTATACTTGCTTAAATCCTTACATGGGTTGAATGATGTAACTTTTACTGATCTGTTAGACTTGTTAAAAGAAGCATTTCCCTTTGCTCAACTGCCTAAGTCTTTCAATAAAGCTAAAAAAATGATAAAAGATTTGGGTCTCGGCTATGACAAAATACATGCATGCCCTAACGATTGCATGTTATTTTGGAATGAAAATGCGGAGAAAGATAATTGCTCTGTGTGTGGGTCTTCTAGATGGTCAAATGAGGGTGATGGCACGACTAATGCAAGCTCTAAAATACCAGCAAAGATTTTAAGGTACTCTCCTTTAAATCCTAAGCTTCAGAGAATGTTTATGTTTCCTGAAATAGTTGTTGCAATGAGATGGCATAATTTTGAACGACCTAATGATTGGAATATAAGGCATCCTGTTGATAGAGAAGCTTGGAAGGATTTTAATTCTATGCATCCAAACTTCTCAAGAGATCCTCATAATGTTCGATTGGGCCTTTCAAGTGATGGTTTCAATCCATTTCGAACCATGAGCATTTCCCATAGTACCTGGCCTGTTATGTTGATGAACTATAATTTATCACCATGGATTTGCATGAAGCCAGAGTATATGATGTTGTCGATGATCATTCCAGGGCCATCATCTCCTGGACAGGATATAGATGTGTACCAACAACCATTAATTGCAGAATTGAAGGAACTATGGGAATTTGGGATAAAAACATATGATGCTCATATAAATCAAACATTTCAAATACGTGCAGCTTTAATGTGGACAATTAATGATTTTCCAGTGCTAACAATGCTTTCTGGATGGAGTACTAAGGGAAAATTAGCATGCCCCACATGTAACTACGACACATGCTCTCAATATCTCAAACATAGTCGTAAAATGTGTTACTTAGGTCATCAGGCATATTTGCCTCCTGATCATCCATTTAGAAGAGACAAAAAATATTTTAATGGAGAGGAGGATGATATACCTGCACCAACATCCTTGTCGGGCATAGAAGTGTTTGAAAAGTTACATGATTTCAATAATGTTTTTGCGAAGGGCAACAAGAAAAGACGTTGAAATATTGAGGGTCCATGGAAGAAAAGATCCATCTTTTTTGAATTACCATATTGGAAACATAGTAAGTTGAGGCACAATCTTGATGTGATGCATATTGAGAAAAATATATGTGATAGTTTGCTTGAGACTTCATTAGATATCCCAGGAAAGTCAAAACATCACATTAATTCTCACTATGACTTGCAAGAAATAGGGATACGAAAGGAGCTTCATCCAAGGAAAGATAATACAAATGGAAAAGCTCATTTAGCTAAATCTTGGTTTACCATGAAACCAGAAGAAAAATGATTATTTTGCATTGTCTTCAAAAATGCAAAATTACCAAAAGGATTTGCCTCAAACATATCAGATCGTGTGGATGTGGATGAGATGAAAATATCAGGGTACAAAAGCCATGATGCTCATTTTATAATGCATTACTTGTTCCAAATTGAGGTTTGAAAAGGATTGCCGAAGAATGTTTCATTAGCCTTGATTAGGTTGGGGAACTTCTTTAAAGCTATATGCAGTAAGGTTATAAGGTGAGCAGATCTTGAGCCAATGCAGATTGAAATCAAAGAAATTGTATGTGACCTTGAAAAGATTTTTCCTCCATCTTTTTTTGATATATCTTGATTGATACATAAAACTATTACAAAAATTACCAGCATTGACCATTTGATCAAACCTCATGTCAACTCTATTGTTCAAGACTGATTGCTCTACATCAATTCAAATAAAGCAAGTATTATACTTATTTTGAACATGAACACAGGGTCTTCGACAAGTTTTTCAATATACAAATTTGACCCTACAACAATAATTAGAATACGTTAAATCTTCAAAAAAAAATCTAAATAGACAATAGCTTGCAAACAAAAATCTTCAGCTGTGAAGTCGAAATCTGGCTCAATTTCACCCAAGAAAATGTGATCAATAACTTTCTCAGAATTGGAATAAATAATTTTTTAATAGTAAAGTATATTTTCCACTATAATCTACAATTACTACTATTAAATTATCTAGGTAGTCATTCGATATAAATATTGTTGGAAATATATATATACACCTAACAAATAGTGTCGTACACGTTATTTCTCAGTGTGTGTGATCTTGTTTGTAACAATTTCAAGTCCCATATATACTTTCATTTTGTCCGAGTTGATTATTTGTCCTCAAAAATGGATGGCAAGGTCAACAGAGAGACAAGATTTTCTCGTTTCTGTTGCTCCCATTATGAACGCCACTTTCTTCTTGTTGAACTTGTTATTGTTGATGAAAGTATTCATTTTAGCTACACATAAAATAAAATAAAAATAATAATTAGTTTACAATAGTAAATAATCTCATGTAAACCACTTATGCATACAGTCAGAAATTAAAAAATCTTCTAAATATAAAGTTAATAAGTACAAACCTTGCTTGAGATGGAATATACTATGTAAAATATATATATATATATATTTCTTGATGGTGGCTATGAAAGAAATTGCATTCAGCTTTTATAGTAAAATCTTTTTGTGGACTTATTAATTGACATACCATATTCAGAATTATTGATATCTTTTAGGATAAGAATGACTTTGAAAAATTTATAGATATATCAACTTGAATTTTAGTAATTATTATTAAATATATTTTAGGATAAAGTTATTAAATGTACATTGTTAGGAAATCACATACAACTGTGATTTTATAGTAAAAATGTGATTATAAACTTATTAATTGGTATACCAAATTAATATATATATATATATATAAAAAAAAAATTAATATCTTTTAGGATAAGAATAGTTCTTGAAAAAATATACAGATACGTCACCTTGAATTTTGGTGATTAAGCTTAAATAATTTTAGGAAGACGTTTCCAGATGTACATTGTTATGAGATCACATACAGAATTGACGAAAAGATCGATTACAAAAGGACTGTAGAAAGAACTAAACAATATTTCTGACGGAATATATTCAAGTGATAATGCGTCAATTCTTACACTATTTAACAACACGTGATAAGTGTTAAGTCTAATTCCATTAGAGAGAAGGGAACAATTATCGATAACTATTTCAATTACGAGTATTTATCTTAACTTGTGCAGCATAATAATAGATAAAGATTTTATTGAATCAAGATTCCATCACCGTGATTGAATTAGGTAGAATATATTTCCTTAAATGATCATTACCGATCGATGGCAAATTTACTATTTTCTCTTCTTTATCTATGTAAGGATTTTAAATTTTGAGTTAAGAATTCTATTCTTTCAAATTCTTTTATGGTAGAATATTTCCGAACATTTATGGTCATTTATTTTCTCACTCTATTACCTTGACATTATGAATGATCTCATGTAATTGTGTAAGTACATATTTATATTAATATATACTAAATATATAAGACTTGGACTTGGACTTGGGGCTTGGGCTTGGATCGGAACTTAAAATAAATATTTTTTATAAAGCTTAAATAGTTGCTCTATAAATAACAATGTTTTTATAGACAAGAATAATATATATAGAAAGAAGGGTCATATCATATATATGTGTGTGTGTGTGTGTAATACGATACAAACTGTACAAAATAGGTCCAAATTAAAGTGTCGAACTGACAAAATAACTCAAGATAGAGATAATGATAGTTTATGTTCACTCAATAATAATATTGTGATCATCACTTTTGAGAAATCTTTTCACAATATCCAGGCATGGTTGCAAAACGGTATTCCTCCATGCTTCGTCAACACCTTCTTTTTTATCTTTGCAACGACCAGGTTCCGTCGTTTTAGAAATTCTAACGGGGGAAATTAGGGGTCGGAAAAACTTTTTCGTAGTATTTGTATTTTCCCAACCTTGTCCAGATTTGGACGAAATCGGAGTCCTTGAGGTGTGGGTAAATCTGGTAAACATCGAGTGAGTTGTTTTTGAGATTGATTGAATGAGTAGTTAGATAACTTGTTAAGGAAACCGTACAACTTTACGGAATTGAATTCGGGGGAGTAGAACTCCCGAAATCGATCTTAACATAAATGATATTTTTCTGATTGTAGAGGGTTAGAGGTGTGTTGTGAAATGAGAATTTGGAATTCTTTCAATTTACTCTCTAGTTCTATTTGTGCCTCTTTGGTGGGATTTTGGCCGCTCGGGCGGGGCCGCTATAGCGGCATATGGGGCACTTTGGCGGGTACGACGAGACTTAAAATCATCAGGAAAGATGAATAGCTCACTGGTTTGAAAATGACACTATGGCGGGGAAGCAGGTCGCTCTGGCGCCGCCGCTATAGCGGGATGATAGCCGTTGTGGCGGGCCAGATGCTACCTAATGTCGTTAATAAACCCCTAAACGACCTTATTTGGAACTTTTTGACTTTCAGAGCTAAGGAACGACCCTCCATGCGACTCATACTCATTTTTCAGCATTCTTGAGGCTAAAGGTAAGCTTTTCACTCCTCGAATCCGTTTCTAGATCCGTAGAACCTAATAGAATGGGTGAATATTAATTGGGGAGGATTTTGTTATAGATTCTATGGTGAAAACCACCCTAATTGGTTAGTTGGGATCATGGGTTTGATCTAGGGTTCAAGAATTTTTATAGTTTCGGGTAATTAGCGATTGTTATTGTGATTGTTTGTAGACCAAGAACAAGTGGAACGAATCCGAAAAAGGAAGGATCAAGTTTCTTAGGGTTTCAAGCTTGTTTCGAGGTAGGTGATGGTTGTGATTCTATGTTTGTGTGATGTATGCTTGTTTTTGCCTCATTATGATACTTGTGTATGTATGAATGTTGCAATGTTGATCACACTTGTTGTAAATGAGATAGATAAATATCATTGCCATAAAATCATGACTTAAATGTATGATCTTGATGATTTACTTGTGTTTGTTAATGTGGTGTGTGAATGGGATCAGATTGCCACATTTCGGCATAACTAATTTGGATCGGATTACCACGTTCCGGCATAACTAATTTGGATCGAATTGCCACTTTCTGGCATAATTATTGGATCGGATTGCCACGTTCCGACATGCTAACGGTTTGGGTTTGGGTTCCGTGAGAGGACCAATGATGTGATGATAAATGTGAAATGCATTGTTGTTTCTTCATGTTGATGATGTTGTATATGTTAATATATATGTTTGTGATTATAATGTTGTTTGACTTGTTTATGTTGCACTAGTGGGATAGCCGCGTGATCCTACCAGTACACTGTCATTGTGTACTGATACTGCACTTACTCTTATATTTGTTGAGTACAGGGCATCTTCACGCAACTATTGACAGACCTCGCTTAGAAGACTAGTGATCGTCGCTTTGAATTCAAGGGTGAGCCAATTCTTCTGGGCTGCCATGGGATTCTCTTTTGTCTATGTCCATCATTTTCGGACATAGATATTTTTTCTAGTTAGTTGATTAGTTCATTAGTTTGGGGATGTATCCCTTCTTGTTTAGACTTGGATCTTTTGCTTAGATGTTTTGGTACATTGACTTTTAGGTTCTAGGTATTAAATTTCCGCACTTGTTTAGTTAATTAACTTTTATAACTTAATTGACTTAGTTTTTAGATTATTTGGTTAGTTTGGGTTGTAGTAGTGGTTCTCCCACCGGATTGTTAGTGTGGGTGCCAATCATGACGGTCTGGGTCATGACAAAGTTGGTATCAAAGCCAAGGTTTGTTAATCTCGATGTACTGAAATGAGTCTAATAGAGTCTCACGGAACCGTACGGGGACGCCTTTTTACTTTTCTTCGAGAGGCTATAAAACTTTAAGAAATCTTTATTTTCTCTTGTCTCATTTCGTGCTATGATTTAATTCCAATTGGTATCTGGCGATTCAAATTGGTATCTCACCTCCTTCACTCTTCTATTTGCAGATGGTTAATACTAGGTATAACAGTGTTAGGCCCGTAGCTCCTGTCAATGTTCCAGTTGATGAATCTGTAGCGAGATGTCACGGTCGAGGCAGAGGTAAAGGAAGAGCTAGGGGTAGAGGCCGTGGAAGAGTAGCGCATGCTGAAAATGAGGTA